AGTCCACCAGCTCTGGTGAAAGGATGACAAGGGAACAGGTAATAGCTAGGTGAATTGATGATTTTTCTTTTTTTAACAAGTCAAAGAAACTGGTATTAATCGAGAGTTCAAAATATTTCATCTCTTTATATGGTTAGGTCTTCGCACAATAAAAGTATGAAATAATTGAATTAATGAATTAATTAGATTTAATTTGATAACACTAATGTTGTGTTATAATTGTAATCTTTAGAAGTACTGTGTAGATTGTTATGAAAAATATTTTAATATTTAATAATTATATTTAAAAAAATTTTATGGTAAAATTATTTAATTAGACATATTAATATTTAAAATTAAATTAATTAATAATTTATTATATAATGTAAAAAAAATTGAAAATTCTATTAATTTTAGATACGATGATTTTTGTATTTTTTTTTTAAAACGTATGAATTGATAATTTCCTAAATGCATAAGTTACAAAAAATTTTGTAGGTATATGCAAAAAGTACGGTAAACATTATCATCAAATGAAGTCTTAATTAGTTAGTTTTTCATTAATTAATTTTCTCTGCATTTAATTAATTAATTAATCATGCGAGTTTCTTAATTATTATACATGTATGCATGCAGTATGGGGCTCTGCGAAGGAAAGTTGGAGGGACATACAAGGATTTCTTCAAGTCTTATGTTGATGGTGCGTAATTGTTTCCAAAACCTCATTTTCATATTACATGAATTTGCAATTAATTAATTAAAGGTTAACCTACGATGGAACAGTGAAAGGGGAATATGTGGAGGAAGGATGGGTGGACAAAACATGCAAGATATGTAAGAAAGACACAAGAGGTGAAGCAAGGCAAGTGGACAAGTTTGGACGATATGTTCATGTAGCTTGCTTGGACAAAAAATCCAGCTTTCCCAGCTTGTTCACCAGATTATTCTCCAAATGAAACCTCTAGACCCAACTAAAAAGGCAAAAGCTTCTGGAAACTCTCTTCTCGACCATGACAAGTAACCATTGGAATATTTATGCTTGGAGTTCTCTGTATAAATTTTATCTCGAAACTATTTTACTCAGTTTGTTAAATTTAACATTTGATACGGTAAATTTGCAAAAGTTAAATCTTTATTAATCTTAAAAATGAAAATCGATGATGTTCCTAATTTGATTCAGTCCTGTATTCCCATGCTAGCTTGTATAGATTTATTAAAATTTTGTGTTTTTATGTAGATTTTACCGGAAGTTGACTATTTAAGGGCCCGTTAACAACGTTACTGGTTTTTTTTTTTTTTCATTACCAAAATTCGAAATGATCGAATTTGATAAATCAAAATGAAAAATTGACAGCCATAATGTGTAATGTTAAATTTAGTATTGTTAAATTTTTAACAATGAAAACAACAATGGACAACCACAATGTGTTATTAAACTAGCCTTAAATATGCTTTAAAAGAAATTTTAAGTGATCAAACCTTAAGAATTTAGGTTTAGATCTCAAAGTTAAATATTGAATAAAATAAAATAAATAAATAAATAAATTATTTCTTATTGTATAACTCATAAAATTCGATTTCATGTTTCAATCCAACAGTTGAGGAGAAATTTGAGCCTAGGCCTGTTTGAGTTTGGGCCACAAAATAATTAAGGGCATATTTGGTGTGATTTATGTGAATTTTTGCTTTTTTAGTATTGTTATGAGTGATAAGTTTAAATTTTTATTGGAGAGAAAATTTAAAAGTTACTTTTGGATATAAAAAAAAGTGAGTGAAAAGTGAATAAAAAGAGAGTATGAAAAATTTAGATTTAAAATTTTTAAATTTTTACTATTTAAAATTTTTTTAAAGTTAAAAAAAGTATAAAAATATAAGTTTTTTAAAAAAAAAATTTTAACTTATGAAACATAATGTTAAAAATTTAAAGCTCCCACCAATCAGCCCTAATTTCGGCTCTAGACTCATAATAACTTAATGGTTAAAAGTTAAAACTCTTTTTTGATCCCTCAACTATTATATGGACGCTTGATTTAGTCCCTAAACTGAAGAAACTCCTAACTTGGTCCCTACTATTTACCCATTTTACCCCAACTTGATCCTTCATTAAAAATCCGTCGTTAACTCGCATGACTTAATGACATGGCAAAATTTTAAGACACGTCAGATGTATAAATGGACACGATGATGATGTGACAATATGACATGTGATATTCTTGTCCAATACCCAAAAAAAAGTGAGACCCACCAAAATTACAATTTTGCACTCATCTTCTTCATCCAGCTTTCTCTTTCTCAAATCTTCTCTTTCATTCTTCTTTTTCTCTCTTTGCCTCCTTCAAATCCACTTTCATCACCATTCTTCATCAATCAATTATTCATCATCATCATCATCAAACAAAAAACCCATAAAAAAATAGAAAATCTTTTTGACTTTTTGCACAAATCAAAAAATTTGTTGGGTTCAAACCTAGTGGCTGTTGGGTTCCAACCGTTGAAACCCAAGTGTGATGGGTTCAAACCCAACGACCGTTGGATTCCAGTCATTGTAACCCACACGTCCATGCATTCAAACGTAGCAGCTGCTGGGTTCGAACGCGTGGATTCCAGCAACTAGAACCCCCGCTAGAACCCAAGCGTGTTGGGTTTGAATTGAGCGACCATTGAAACCCACAAGTTTAAATGTAGCAGCTGGAACCTAGGGATGCTGGGTTCAAACTCAGCAGCTGCTAGGTTCCGGTGGCTAGAACCTACGCGTCCATGAGTTCGAACATGGTGGCCATTGGGTTCGAACGCATGGGTTCCAGTCGCTAGAATCCAGGCATGCTGGGTTCGAACTAAGCGGCCATTGAAACCCATGCATTTACGAACCCAGCACTCCTGGGTTCCAGCGGCTAAAACCCATGGGTTTGAACCCAGCAACTGGAACCCAAGCATGCTAGGTTCAAACCCAACAGCCGTTGGGTTCCAAGCTGCAACCCAGGCATGTTGGGTTTGAGTTCAAAAGAGTCCAGAACCCCAAGGGGAAAGAAAAAAGGAAAAAGAAGTAAAAAAAATTTAAGAATTTTTTTGTCATATCAATAATTTTTTTTACTATATCATTATTTTTGTCTATGTCAGCTATGTTGTGTTTAATATTTTGCCATGTCACCATGTTACCATGTTACCATTAATTAACGCGACACCTCACATGATTTTTAACAAAATGATCAAGTTGAGGTAAAATTGAAAAACAGTAAAAACTAAGTCAAGGATTATTTTAGTCCAGGAACCAAATTGAAAATACAGAACAAAAAAGGGGTTTAACCTAACTTAATAACTCGCTCTTCTAAGAGGGCGGGATTTGTTGGCGGGAAAGCATACTAGTCTCCGTCCTTTTTAGCGCGGGAAGAGCCT